CGCACCTAAAACGCGAGTGTGGCGCATCTCTAAACGCGCGAGAACTTACGAGAGAAAAACAGAATATAGGGGGAAGAATCTCCCACCCAAGCTATGTCCAAATCGATAGACTTTCACAAGTGAATTACACGTCTGTAGATTTGGGGCAGGGCTAAAAGTAGCATGTTTAAATAGATAGGTAAGCATTTGTTGGGATCCCTGCACCTAAAACGCGAGTGTGACGCTTCTCTAAACGTGCGAGAACTTACCAGAGAAAAGAAAGTTGATAGGGGCGAGAATCTCCCACCCACAAGCACTGTCCAAATCGATAGACTTTAACAAGTGCAATACACGTGTGTAGATTTGGGCGAGGGCTTAAAGTAACTCTTTAAAAAGTCAGGTAAGCATTGGTTGGGATTCCTGCACCTAAAACGCGAGTGTGGCGCACCTCTAAAAGCGCGAGAACTTACGAGAGAAAAGAAAGTTGTTATGGGTGGGAATTTCAAACCCAAACACTGTGCTAATCGACAGTTTTCTACAAGTGAGATACACGTGTGTAGATTTGGGAGAGGGCTAAAAGCAGCATCTTTAAAAACTTAGGTAAGCATTGGTTAGCATCCCCACATCTAAAACGCGAGTGTGGCGCATCTCTAAAAGCGCGAGAACTTACGAGAGAAAGGAAAGTTGATATGGGTTGGGAATTTTCAACCCAAACACTGTGCAAATTGATAGTTTTCTACAAGTGAAATACAGTGTGTAGATTTGGGGCAGGGCTGAAAGCAGCATCTTTAAAAAGTTAAGTAAGCATTGGTTGGGATCCCCGCACCTAAAACGCGAGTGTGGCGCATCTCTAAACGCACGAGAACTTACGAGAGAAAAACAGAATATAGGGGGAAGAATCTCCCACCCAAGCTATGTCCAAATCGATAGACTTTCACAAGTGAAATACACGTCTGTAGATTTGGGGCAGGGCTAAAAGTGGCATGTTTAAATAGATAGGTAAGCATTTGTTGGTACCCCTGCACCTAAAACGCGAGTGTGGCGCATCTTTAAACGTGCGAGAACTTACGAGAGAAAATAAAGTTGATAGGGGCGAGAATCTCCTACGCAAGCACTGTCCAAATTGATAGACTTCAAGAAGTGAAATACACGTGTGTAGATTTGGAAAAGGGCTAAAAGTAGCGTCTTTAAAAGGTTAGGTAAGCATTGGTTGGGATCCCTGCATCTAAAACGCGAGTGTGGCGCATCTCTAAACGCGCGAGAACTTAGAAGAGAAAAGAAAGTTGATAGTGGCGAGAATCTCTCACCCAAGCACTGTTCAAATCGAGAGACCTCTACAAGTGAAATACACCTCTGTAGATTTGGGGCAGGGTTAAAAGTAGCATCTTTAAAAAGCTAGGTGAGCATTGGTTGGGTTCCCCGCAGTTGAAACGCGAGTGTGGCACATCTCTAAACGCGTGAGAACTTACGAGAGAAAAGAAAGTTGATATGGACGAGAATCTCTTACCCTTGCACTGTCCAAATCGATAGACTTCAAGAAGTGAAATACACGTGTGTAGATTTCGGGGAGGGCTAAAAGTAGCATCTTTAAAAGGTTAGGTAAGCATTGGTTGGGATCCCCGCGTAAAAAACGCGAGTGTGGCGCAACTCTAAACGCGCGAGAACTTACAAGAGAAAAGAAAGTTGATATGGCCGGAAATATCCAACCCAAACACTGTGTAAATCAATAGTGTTCCACAAGTGAAATACACGTGTGTAGATGTGGGGCAGGGCTAAAAGCAGCATGTTTAAAAAGTTAGGTAAGCATTGGCTGGGATTCCGGCACTTAAAAAGCGAGTGCGGTGGGGTAAACGCGCAAGAATTTCCGAGAGAAGAGAAAGTTGATAATGGCGAGAATATCTCACCCAAGCACTGTCCAAATCCACAGACTTCAACAAGTGAAATAGACGTGTGTAGATTTGGGGGAGGGCTAAAAGTAGCGTCTTTAAAAGGTTAGGTAAGTATTTGTTGGTATCCCCGCGCCTAAAACGCGAGTGTGGCGCATCTCTAAACGCGCGAGAACTTACTAGTGAAAAGAAAGTTGATATGGGCGAGAATCTCTCACCCCATGAGGGAACGCAAATGACTTCTACTGTACGTATCTCTTCCTGGTGTTTTTTGTTGTTGTTGTTGTTGTTGTTTTTTTTTTAATTTTATGTGAACAGGGCTGTGTTCCTCCAAGGCTCTGGGTGTAATTCGTAAAAACACTGAGTTCTCATAAATCGTTTAGAAATTCTTCAATCCAGTTCAAATTTATGTTGCTGGCACATTGGAGTGCACTTTATATGTGGACCGTGATGTAAGATACCTTGAACTATTTTTACTGTTCATGATGCACTGCTACGTTAGTCTGCTTTATAAATATTTAACTGCTCTGGTCGAGTTTTTAATTTGAATATGATCAGGAGCCATAATCGGGGACGGAGACCGTAAGCGCGCGCCATTTC